CTAGAGATAAAATTGCGTTGCCATAAACACTGACTAGAAACAAGCCAATGCATTCCACTGACATGCACAAAATGATCTATTACATATTTATCATACGCTTTGCCTAATCATTTATTAAGTCCTTCTAAGAGGATTCATTGCCCAAGGAATTCGAGCCGTGCCTTGCACCACCAGCCCTTCGTGCAGACCCACCATGCTGCAGCTCCCGGAGCAGCCAGAGCCCAAGGAAACCTCTGGATGATCTCTAATGCTTTCCTGGGTGAGGAAATCCACCTGCCGTGGGTGATGACTAAAAACCCTGTTTATCCAAGAGAGGTTCACTCTCCATGCTCAGGCAGTTCTTGGATTGCCCCAACGCCGCACCTGTCACGGGCTGCTTCAGGAACCCCCTTGGGACAGGCAGTGAGCGGAGGAAAGGCAGGGCCTGGATTCCTTAAAAGTATTTTACCTGTTGTAAGTGCTTTCCATTCCCACACGTAGTGTCTGAGCTGCCGGGGCAGCGGCTGCTCTGTCCGGGTGGCTGCAGTGGGAACAGGAGGCGATGCTGCCCAATCCCAGCTGAGTCGCACGCTCTGGAATAAATCTAATTTCTGCTTTAATGGAGAAAGCAACACTTTCCAAAGTGAAACCAACCACAGTGTTTCCACTGAACTCACCAGAGCTCAGTTCAGGAGACACTGATCTCATCAGTGAGGTCAGACAAAACCTTACAAGACTCTTGGGTTCAGCTGCCTTCTCGCCTGCGCGGAGCTTGCTGGCTGATCTCTGATCAGCTACGTGACAATTGTGATTAACGGCCCTTTCCATCAACACATCCACCCGTGTTCTGAAGGGGTGCTTAACAGAGGTGGCCACAACATTTCTTTCCAATCCTGTATAAAAGATTGTATCCAAAGCCAAGGACAATTTTAATGTATTTGAGTCAACCTCCAACCTTGTTTTAACACAGCAAGTGAGATCTTTCTGGTTTTCTCCATGTAGTAGCCAGGTATTTCATACTCAAGGAAAAAATGTAGGCTCACCTTAGCTGGTTACCTCACAGCTTCAGGGACAGCCTGTGGGACAGAGGCATCCTTTGGGCGTCGGAGATTGTGACGAGGCTGTGCTGCCGACGGATCCAGCACGCTCAGCTGCAGACACCGCACTGGGGTCCACCAGCCGCTGGCACAACGCGCATTCACCAAGACGCAAAATTGCTTTGAGTGAGCTCAGGAAAATGAATCTATTCAAGAGAGTCAGGAGGAGTCCAAAGAAAGGAAGTGCTAGAGGGGTGGACAGGAAAGAAAAACAGGCAGAGAAATTTTAGCAACAGGGCAAGGGACTCCATCTGCCCACAGTTCCTCACTGCTCTTGGTACAAGTAACCTTTGCTGTCTCTCATGAAAACACTCATTAAGCCACTACCAAGTTTGACTGGTGGATGGTAGTGGAAGGTGCCCACCTCCCAGCTGGGAAGCAACAACTTCCCACCCTCATGGTCTGTAGCTACCGCATGTGTACAGAGGAGTGGCCAGAAAACGTGCAGGGTTAGCTCCCCTGGGGAGCTGGGACCAGCTCAGGGATGGTCCCGCAGGCAGGGGGATGTGCCCAGAGAGTGCCCACCTCTGCCAGGAGCCCCACGGGATGCAACACGGCTCCTCCTCACTTGGCTGCCGCTGAAACCTTGCGGTAGTCATGGGAGGTTAGACTTAGCTGGCCATGAAACTGGTGTCACAGGAGCCACAAGAAAGCCTCAGAAGTACCTCTGAAGCCACAAACAGCCCAGACCTGGAAATCCAGACACACAGAAGACTTGTGAGCCGTTAGCAATCCCCCAAGCTGCCAAACTCCCATCACCATCGCCTTGGTATTGCAAGCAGAGGGGAGACCAGCACTGCCCAGTGAAGTCTGCACTGACTTTAGAGCGGGAGGGGTGACAGGACTCACTCCTTTTCCACAGCCCCCAGCTTGCACTTTTCTTTGGGAGCTCACACGGAATTTGCCAGTTATTGGCAACGTAACCGGCCCTCGATGTTCAGAATCAGATGCTTGCAGAGTTTGGGATTTCACATCAAAGCCACTGGCTTGGCCGCTGCAGCAGCAGCAGCAGTCAGTGAGAAAGTTTGGAACCAAACCCAAACTTCTCAGAATTTCACAGCTATTCCGGTCCCGCTTGGGGCTCATCTCTGCCTCACTGCTGCAAGGAGCACAACACGCTGAAGAGCCAACTTTTTAAGTCCTTGACCAGTCTCGGATGGACAATCTTCAGCTCAGGCTCCAGCTTACTGTCCTGGTGTGACCAGCGGTGACAACTGCTTGGCAGCAGCCATCCCCCTTCTCCCAGCAATCTCCTCTCGGAATATTTTCCTTTCTCCACAGAAATAACCATTGGTGCGTGGTGTCTCTCGGCTTAGCATCTTGGAGAGAGCTTTCTGTTCTGCTTTGAGTGATTTAATAATTTTGTTGGGCTTCTACCCAAAGCAATAAGGCCTGTTATGTTGTCTTTGGTTCAGGTTCTTCCCTCTCACTCATGCCTTTTAATTCCCATAAAAGCCTAATTTGTTTCTGCCAAAAGTATAATAGCAGGGCCATGAGCGGTGGTGTGAGGAGAGTAGCAGCTCCACAATCATAAAAGTACGAGAATGGCAACAGTATTTAGCAAGGAGAGACAACGGGAGTGGAAAAATAGTGTTCATTCAGCTTCTCTTGAGGAGAGCATTGAACGTGTTCTAAAAATAGCCAAAAAACCCTCAAGGAAGCATGTGAAGATGAAGAAGCCATTGCCAGCCCAGCTGCTCTGTCGGAGCGATCCCTCGATGCCCCTGAGCGCGCAGACCTTCAGGTGACCAGGGCAGAGTCCCAGCCCACGCTGGCCAAGATCCTGATCCGAGCTCGTGGCTTGGGGATATTTGTTTCTTGCTTCTATCCACCATCAACCCAGGAGACTTCTGAAGGCCTTTTATCCTCAGATAAAGGCTCAAGAAAAGCTTTGGTGCCAGTAAATTACCCAGTACTGCTGATCTTGATTAATGCTCAGTAAGGCACTAAAGCCTTATGTACCACGATGGATGACTTGAAGGCTTCTGTTCAGAGAAAGCTTGGCAAACAGTTGGCATTAAAAGCAGAACCAGTACAAGAAAAGTAGGACCTCTTGACAGAAAAATAAATTTTGGGAGCAGACGCTCTGAGAAATACCTAATCTCAGCTTCTGAGAACTGCATTAAAGGTTTCAAAGCTCTCCTTAGCTAGTCCACCACTGCTTTGGAAAGCCACCAAGCACCACAAAGTTTCACCAGCCTGATGGCAGGATACCAGGGCTTGTCCGTGTTGTCACCTGCAGAAAGCACTTCCCAAACACCCGGCCGTGTCGAACGCGGGAGCTGTGAAACCCGGCAACCTCCAAACACATGAAGTCCAAACGTGCCAGGGCCAAGATGGACGTGGCTTTTGTGGGACTTGGGAGCGAGGGCATTGGCAGAAGCAGTTTGTCCCTGCATTTTGACTCAGCGTCCAGCTGTTTTATTAGTGATTTAGTGCCTGCTTCTGCAGCAAAACCCGGGCTGATAGTCAGGAGGAAAGAGAAGCTGCTGAGAAGCAACAGCTACCAGAAAGGTCTCAGGCCTGGGATGGCAGGGAATGTTTTTTTCCTTTATGGTTGTTTTCCTCTCGTAGGAAATCTCTCTGTTCTAACAGAGACCCCAGAGGGACACGTCTAAGGGAAGAAGCCCGTGTGCTAACCCAAGCTGGCTGCAGCGGCAATGAAGTCTTCCTTTCCAAGGTTTCAGGTTTTAGCAACCCAACTCGCAGGCATTTTTATCGTCTGCAGGCTTTTGGGATCCACTTGAAGGAGTAGTTTCCCCTCCTTGCAGATGCATTTGCCGATTTAAATACTTAAGAGTTTACAGCCAAATGTTTAGAGATTTTATATACACAAACATGTACGTGTGTGTGTGTGCATCGCAGTCCTTAATATCTCCCTGGTCACTCTTCAAGTACCACAGCACACCCACGCGGTGTGATACTGGCTCCATCCTAACGCACCAGTAGCAAAACTCAGTGCTAAAGAGACATTTTTACAATCTATAAATACATAAATATATATATATACCGTGACTATATAGTATTTTCCATAATATAGCTACGAGAGTACATGACATTTAAAGTAATTTCCTCTATTTAGACTTATACCCTGCTCTGTCTTTTCCTGTTTGTAAAACCACTTCTCTAAAAGCACCACGGAACTTTGCATATGAAAGACAGCATATTCAGGGGAGAGATAAAATGTAGTTTCTAGGCTAGAAACGTTCAGATAAATTGGAATATGCCTGGAATACACGTGGGACTCTGATCCCCATCCACCCACGGCCACGATGGTGGTTCTCACCCTCTAGCATTCGCAGCCTATTTTGCTTTTTGGTCTGGTGCTGCCTTCAGGTTTTTTTGTCCCCTGCTCTCCCACGACACCCAATGTTTGCTTTGATCCTTAGCGTGCGTGTGCCTTGGCCAGGTGAGATGCAGAGAGCCAAGATATGAGGTAATATTTGTTAGGTGGCACGCAGTGCGTGTTGCAATACCCCGTCATAATCCCGTTTGAAAGTTATAATAGTGGAGAGGGTTATTAACCTGGGCTCCCTTCCTGCTTCTTGTGGGTTTCGATCAGACACTGGGTGTTTTTCAACCTTTTTTTTTTGCTTTGTTTGTTTTCGAGTGTATAATTTTAGTACGTACGTCAATAGAAAGCAGAAAGAAAACAGAATTTACTCCGATAAAATTAAAAGGACGGACTTTCTCTCTCGCCCAGTGAGGAGACAACAACCCCCCTCCCCACCTCCCACGCCAAGGAGCATCACCTTTTGGGCTGTGTCCCTGCTGGACCCCCATCCGTGGTGTGAATCACCTGCCTGGGGACCCCCAGCTCCCTCCCCTCCCTTTAAAAGCAGCAGCAGCGTGTGCCAAGCACTCGGTGCCTCTGCCTCACGCCGCTGCATCTCTTGCAGCCCGGCCGTCGGGAGAGGCTGAGAGATGGCCGAAGGGGAAATCACCACCTTCACCGCCCTGACCGAAAAATTCAACCTTCCCGCGGGGAACTACAAGAAACCCAAACTCCTGTACTGCAGCAACGGCGGGCATTTCCTACGCATCCTCCCGGACGGCAAAGTGGATGGGACCAGGGACCGGAGCGACCAGCACAGTAAGCAGACCCCATGGGGCTTCTCGGCACTTTCCCTTGCTCCTGTGGTTTTATCAGTCAGGAAGGGGGGAGCTGGAGGAGATGGGCTCTGTACCAGACTTGCTTTTCTCCTGGTGGCAACCCACCTTTTCCAGGAGGCCAGCCCACACAGCACGGCCCGACAGCTCGCACGGTGCAGCGCCTGTGCTATTTCACATCCGCAGAATATTAAATCTGGAACCGGTTATCAGCACAGTGGCAGGCGGGCAAATCATACAGGAGCAAGGTGCTAATTGCAGCACGGCTGGCTTACACAGCAAGCGGGCAGCTGGCAAAAAAAAAAAAAAAAAAAGGGTTTAAAGGCCCCCC